CAGAGCTTCAAAAGTGTAGGTGTGAGTAGTCAGGTCTGAATTTGAGTCTTGGTTCTCTTTCACTGTGTGACCTTGCCCAAGTTCTTTAATGTGTTCAAAGCTCAGTTTCCTCATTTGTTACATGGAGTTAATGATAAGACCTGCCAGGCCTGCCTGGCAGAGTTGTTATATGGACATTCTAGAATTTTGCCGGGGATTGAAATCGAGATCAGTTGTTGTTTTCAGAGCCCATTAGACTTCCTCCCATTCTGAAAATCACTTGACCAGTTTTCTGGGCTGCCTGCTGTTACCCACAGAGTCTCTAAAACTGCTTCTTCTATGGGATCTATAAGCCCTCTTGCACACTTGTATTGCCTGGGCCCTCTGTCAGCTTCACATCCACCTGAGCATTGTGGCCAACATGGAAAACACAATGGGGAGCGAGAGTGTTCTGGATTGGCAGGGAAGATAGGTATCAATCAAATTCTTGCACTGATAAGCACAGCATCACAGACAGATATCTATGAAAGGGAAACTATGTGGGCTGGTTGGAGACTCCAGTGATTGAAATTACCTAATCAGGAAAACCAGGGTATGCTTTTCTGAGGAAGTGACGTTAGAGCTGAAATCAAAGGATGGGTGGGTGGATGAGGTTTTAGTAGAGGGGAGAGAGAAAATAATGCATTTGTGGGGAAGGGGAATATCTTGAAGTACCAAGAGCTGAAAGCAGTCGGCCTGGTCCTCCCATGAGTTGACAATCTGATTGATCAGATCATAAAATATTTATTGAACCAAATCCAGCAGTGAGCAAGGCCATTTTTTATTCATTGGCCACACATGTGAACTTGTTCATTTATTTTCCTTCTTTCTTCCTTTGTTCCTATGCAACTGGGGTGGGAAAAGGACTGAGGTCCACTAGTTCATTGCTGGAGTCCTAGCCATTCTACTCTTTAGTCTAATCCACCTATTGAGATGCTCTGGTCAACCACAGGGTGCCAAGGGCAAGAAATGGCTCTAGAAGTCTTCAGTCCTGGTCACATCCTCTGCTTCTTTCTATGCTAGGATTTGGGAACTCATTTCCCACTAACCTTGGATTCTTGGGTGTCTCCTTTAGGAATTTTGGTTAGAAGCCTGTGGTACCTGTGGTTGAGGGCAGAATTCCAGCATCTCCACCAGATCCTGGCAGCATCCTGTCACTGAAAATCCACCATCATTTCTAATACCTTCAAACAGCACTCATAGTGCTTCCCAGGCCCTGTAACATTGTTCATTCACTTATTCACACATGCTTGCGTGTAAGGAAATGTGTTTAAAAAGTTTTACAAACTAATACAGGGTTCCCACAATCTTCTCCTGATGAACAATTAGTTCCGAATTTCCCCAAAACATTAATGCTAAAACAAAACAAAACAAAACAAAAAAACAGAAGCCCTTAGGTAAACCTAACTTGCACAAGAGGCAGGGCATCACATTCCTTCAGTCAGTCATTTATTTGGTATAGACCTGCAACACACATATATTGTTGTTCAGGAAGATGAAACCAGGAACAGGCAAAGAAGGGACAGAAATAGAAAATAAATGTAAGATTAAAAAAAAAAAAAGTAAAAGAGAAGACCCACCACCTCTACAAGGATTGGCTATGCCTTCCTTGTGGAGGTAAAGCTGGCTACCATATTCTAACTTCATTGTCTATAATTTTACTTTTGCCTTATGGGCCCGCAGATTCCTGTTCATGAGTGACTAATAGCTTGGGAGTGAGAAACTGGGGACTTCTATTACTTCAATATATTGCATTACTCTTATAGGATATTTCTGCCTTGTTTCTAATGGGCTGTGATATACCTCAATGTTAAATAAAGATTCTTCAGAAAAACCTTCCAGGTTTTTGATAATGGAATATTTGTTTGTGGGGGACAGAACTGGGGACTGAATCCAGGGCCTCACATATGCTAGGCAAGTGCTCTACCACTGAGCTATATTCACTGGCCTTTATATTTTTGAGACAGGGTCTAAGTTACCCAGGTTGGCCTAGAACTTGCAATCCCCCTGCTTCAGCTTCCTGAGTAGCTGGAATTATAATCATGCACCAACACTCAGCCTTTTATTTATTTATTTTTCTTCTTCCTTTTTCTTTGAACTGTTTGAATCTGTGTCCCTGGGGGCATGTACTTGATAAATACTCTGTACTCCATTTGCCAGCAAATGCAAATTATTCTTTCTTTTACAGAATTCCTATTACTTCCACATCACTACTTATTTTCTGCTGGTTAATTAAATCCAGACACATTGACTTTGTCCTATCTTCAGTCTTTTGAATGATAATACAGGTTGAATATTTGTTATCTGAAATGCTTGGGGTTCCAAGTATTTCAATTTTTTAAAAATATTCATAAATGCAATAAGGTATGTTGGGAATGGGACTCAAGTCTAAATATGAAATTCATTTCATATATACCTCATACACATAGCCTGAAGTTAACTTTATACATTTTTAGTATATCTGTCTATTGTCAGGAACCCTCACATGAGATCACGTGGAATTTTTCAGTTGTGGCAACATGTTAGCACTCAAAATTTTCTCATTTTGGAGCATTTTGGGTTTTGGATTACAAAAGGTCAGTTTAATATTTTCTGTAAATCAGAAATGTATTACTTGCTGTGCTTTATATTAAATGAGGCTTCCAACACTTGTCCAACTCTGCTCTTTTGCCTTGGTGATACTTAAAACTCTAAACTAGAAAATGTTTACTGCTTTACATTCACAGCAACCTGGATAGTTTATCATCCTCCTTTCCAGATGGAAAATATTGAGGTTGAGAAAGGGCAAGTGGCTTGAAAAGGGTTACAGAGATGCTCAAGGCAGATCTTCAATTTGAAAGTCCTCTGCTCACTTCAATGCTCCTTATTTGCCCCTGTAGGCTGTAGATTACAATCCCCAGCCCTCCCACAATAATTTTTACCGAGAGATAGCTCATGTTAAGCTGTCCCACGCCGCACTGGCCTTACTGCCTGGGAGTTGGTTTCCTAAATGTTTTTTGCACACATATCACTAGACTCTGCATATTCTTCTCACCCTATGCTGAGTGCACAACTGCTCTCAAACCACGAGGGGGGTCCTCTTCCAGGGACGGTGTCTAGAGGCATTCAGAATGGTTTAGTGTTTGACATACTGTCAGGCTTTCCTACAATACAGCCTTTAACAAAACCAGGCTGTCTCAAACCCCTGGTAATAGAATTGTTTACCTTTGAAATTTGGGGAAGCACCAAAATCTGTATGTGGTGTGTGCCCAGAGAGACTTCGAGGGGTTCGTGCTGTGAGACCTAAGGTTCTCATGAGATTGTTTAAAACCAAAAAACATGTCAGCAGGGCCTATGATGGTTCGGTGTGTGCTAAATGTGTCCTACAGGATCAAGCGTGCTTTCCTTATGGAGGAACATAAAATAGTTGTTTTAAGTATTGAAGGCACAAGCACAGAGTCCAAAAGCTAAATTTTTAAAAAAATGAAAAAGTCAAAAGGCAAACAAATCAAATCAAACCAACCAAACCAGCCTAACCAAAACCCAAAAACATGAGGGCTCAATAAGATTCACATAACTGTCCTCATCCAGTCACCTTCTGTGAGGTCTAAATTTTATTTCCAATGCTGTGTCCTCTTCCTGCCATTTTGTCGTGTTCTAGAAGGATAAAAATGCTAGAGCACAAGTTGCACTGCCAAGTTGCATACGCAGTGGTGCTATAACTCCATAAGCAAAGGAAAGCTACCCTATTGGAGTACTGCACATTAGTATTGACTTAAGGGACTTAAAAATATCGACTGTGCTAGTATGACTAATTAGGCTTTGGTGGTTAATTTCCGTACTTTCAGGAAAGCATCCTTTAGCACTAACCTCAACACCCCAGGGGAGTACAATGATCCTCTCTTTTTTTCCTCAGGCTTGAGAATCCCTATTGAGCACTAATTTCCCACTCCTGTGATAGGTGTTTCTTTGGAAACAAATCTATTTCATTTCCATAGACTAAGCTTGAATCTAATTCACCAACTTGGTATTTTAAGTAGGAGGTAATTTTTGACAACATTCTCTATTTCCATTGTATTGGCCTGCTTCTATTTTCCATCTTCTGTAACCACCTTTTAAAATTGTGTTTCCTAGTAAACTATCCTGAAATACAAAACTGTATCTACCCATTTGTTGAGGAATGAGATGTAAAGTATTCAGCACAGCACGCAACACATCTTCACCATGAATGTTTGCTTTAATAATCTCAAGTACAATACTGCAACTTGTAACTGATAGCACTACCAATGCCTTCCATATGCTCACAAATGCCTGTAGCCTCAACCATCTATTATTTCCATCTAGTACAATGCCTACTACTAAGTAGGTGATCAATGCTGAATAAATGCAGGGTCAAAGTTCTATGCCCCAGCAAGTAGGGATTCAAACCAATAGAAAACTCCATGATATTACGGGTAATGCACTTCTCTGGCTTCCTTTCCCACCGTGAAGGGAGTATTATAGTTTTAGAAGCTTATTAAGAACTGGAGTAGTTAAAGAAAATAAAGGTCACAAGTTTAAAACTTTACCTGCATAAATGGGTAAATATGCAAAGGTTCAAATGTTCTCTATTTTACAATTCAAGACCATTTTTAAATTTGAGTTTTCTGTTTGAAAAATGTCATTCTTATTTACAATATTACATTTCTCATCCCAGCTTTTACACATCTGCATGAGTGTATGGGTAAAAGGTTTTATTCTAAATGTCCTTTTCATTTGAAAAACTAAACTTATGAGAAACAGTTTAAATTTTAGTTCACTTTAAAAATTCACCTCCATTCTTTATTCATCATACAGATGTAACTTATTCTAATATTTTATAAGATTCACCAAAGAGGGAAAGAACAGATATAACTCTGAAAAAAAATTAAAACTCTATCCAAATATATAATTAGAAAAATGTTCATATTCTTTTTGTGTGATAACTTGTCAAGTAAGACTCAATGACAACACATTAATTCAAGTGACTTCAATTTTATTTTATTTTTCGTATAATCTTCAGGTGGGAGAAGTGTCATGTAGAGTATTCTTCCCACCCCTCACCCCACCAACTTGAATCATTCAAGAACTGGGATCTAAGAAATGCATTAGTAGACTATCAGTGGTATTATTATGTACAATTGGTTACAGCACCATGCTAATAAGCCGGGGTCATAGGACTCTTCTCTGCAAGGGCCAATTAATTTACCTTTGTCCCATGGACCCAGGCTGCATTCCTCACTGCTGACAGCTTTCTTACAATGCATCCCACTGTCATGAGATAAGGTACTGGCAAAAGTGGTAGATAAATGAAAACAAATTATCTACACTAATCAAAGGGGAAAAAAATCTCATGTATGCTACTGATGGTGATTAACAGAATCTTATCTGTAAAGAAAAAAACAAAACATATGCTGTTTGCTCTACATTAAACATTTCAAGTCTAAAATATTCAATGACAGTAACATTTGACTCTTGCACTTGACAACTAATAAATAAAACATTCCACAAACAGCTACAGTAAAGACCCTGATAATTGTTATCCAATCTGTTAACTGTTAATTCCACACAGACATCCTTTTTTAATATTAACTATGTACCATGGTTTTTGCATATTTACCACTAGTTATTTGGTTCAAAAAACTGTGAAAAATCAGCTAGAAAATTAGACATAAAACTGTATTCTATATTTTATTTTTCAAACAGCCAGTGTCCACATTTAAAATGCAGAATTTGAAATGTAAGTCTAATAATTCAATTTAAAATAAAGCAAAACAACTTCCTTTAGTATCACAATACATAAAATATTATAAACTCCTTAAGTGGCAAGACTAACTATATGACAACAGTGTCAAAAGCTGTGAAACTCATTAAACCTCTTAATGAGTAAGTCAGTTTAAAGAACATTTCTACGTTCCATGACTACATATGAAACAAGCTTTCACTGTATTATAAAGACTCAGCAAATCATGGCAATCATATGGGGTCAACCAAGACTTTTTTTTTTTAAACAATGATGATAAAAATGTATTTAAACATAAAATCCTCCCAATTGTTTAAAAACAATTAAATATGGAGGACAAAATATATTTTAAAATATACTGACTTACTAAATTTCAATCATCAGGCTGCTGACTACTGATGTAAAAGTCTGTATTTAAAAATATCACAAATATATTATTTAACAGTGAAAATTTCCATGTGGCAAGTTTCATCGCAAAGCGATTTTCACCTGAGTAGATTTGGAAATTTAGTGCTCATATTTTGGGGGGAGGATAAGGAAAGAGCCACATTTTATCTGATCTGAGTTTGCAGTTGATTCCTCCACACTGATTTCCTAGGGGGCTGAAGAAACAATCTGCTGTGACTTTCCCAAGTCATACCATGCCCCCCGCCTTCCCTCTTAAATTTGCTGTGGCATTTCATGAATTCTCAATATCCATCAAATATTTCCACTTAGTTACCCATTCAAGCTTGGCAACTAGATCCATTCAGTTCTACACAACAGCGTCTATATTATGTACATGTTTAATTATCAATAGGAAATAGAAAATAAAATTTTACAGTGATTAAGAAAAGGGTCAGAAAATTGGATAGGAAAAATAATACTGTATAATCAGAATAGCCTATTATCCTACCAATTTCAATGACAGGGTTTTTCTTTTATTAGCTGATATACAAAGAAGGCGTAGGGAATCCCAGGAAAATAACACTATGTATCAGAAAATTCAAATGCTCCACCATCAGGATTTCCATCACACATTTAATTTCTTCTGTACAATTTTTATAAACTTGTTTTCTTTTCAAAATCATCAGATTTCCAGATTAAATTCAGCACTACACAGTATGCCCTTGAAGTAAAATGAGGTTACCTGCTTTATTTGGATACCAAGTTCCCTTCCAGACAGCATTAAAATAAAGACAAGTAAGACTACACAGATAAAATCCAGTATAATTCAAATCCAACAATGAAAAATTTCCCCCATATTGTTGCAAAATTCTTTCTACTGAAATGCTTTGCTACAATAATAAAAAGCATACATTACATATAAAAGATACCAGTGTACTAAAAAGTGACAGAAGTGGACTAGCAAATCCTTCAAAGCACATTATATAAATGACTAGCATTTAAAAACATTTCTCCTATAAAATGTAGGTCATATACATTTATAAATTGGCGGTTTTATTTCTAAAGCAGTGATGTGTGTGTTCAAATAGTTAGCTGTTCTGTACAGTATTATATTGACTCACTTCAAACTACAATAAGTTTGTCTTTCTTTGTATTGAAGTTGAATAAAGTCATCTGATTAGCTGAGAAATCAAGCTTGAAAAATAAGTATCTAAAAATCAAAGTAGAAAGTTTAGAATTATTTGAAATGTAGCTATGAAATATGAAGAGAACTATCTATTTCACAATGGAGCTGAAGTCACCTCAAAACTTACGGGCTTGAATCTATATCAGAAACAAATATTAAAATCCAAAGCAAATCACAAAGTTAGGTAGCAGTACAGAAGCAGGGAAAAACAACAACAACGACAACAACAACAACACATCCCTTCCTTCAGTGTGATGGGCACTAAGTTTTGCGGTCTTCCTCCATCTTGCAGAAGAGTGGTAAGGCCATTCAATGCTTAGTGAAAGTGAGTACAGATGAAGCCAGATTTAGCCTGTCTCCTCTGCAACTTCAATTATGCTGTGTAAACAGTGTTACGTTCCAAAAGGAGGAACAATGGAATTTGCTTATAAAAACTGATTAAAGATAATCATCATTAAATGAAATAAGGATAATAATAACTCTGAAATGTTTTTAGAACTTTCCTGATGCTACTTGTAAAGTTAGCACTGCTATGTATTATTGCTTACATACAGTACAACATCATATGCCTTCTAACATAAAGCAGTACTGTGATTTGTTTGTACATATTTACAGATTCTTAAAAACAAGCTGTAAAAACATTACATACTTTCAGACAATACAAATTAGCACATTGGTACTCACTTCAAAACAAATGGAATGCATAACATTAATAAACATCATAAAGGAAGACTCACATGAAAGTCCTTGATTGTCAAGACACATTTATATATAAACTCTAACTGTGCAGAATTAAAGATTCAATCATAGGTACATCCTTACTTGATGAACCGTATTTACAGCATGGTATTGCATAAAAAAATAAAATAATGTTTACAGGGTTTTACTTTTTTATCCATTTTGGATTAAAGAAAGCAACAAACATAACAAGAAATGTTTGTCTGCTTTAGTTTGTTTCCTACCAAAGTTTAAGTGAAAAAAAGGAAACATATGGTTTTTATTTGCAGAATATAGCAAAACAACTGGAAAATTATTTCCCTGAAATAAAGCAATTTGAAACGGAAAAGGTTTAAATTAAAATTGCAGACTCAAAAATTTCTCATTGATTATAATAGTGCTTCTTCAAGTAAATACATACTGTGAAAAAATGAGTTCTAGTTTAAAATGTTCTAAGATACGCAGTACTACAATAATGCCTACTTTTAAAGTTTCCCGGCTTTTATTTATTTATTCATTCATTTACTTATTTATTTATTTTAAACAGCCCTTTAAATACCCAAATTAATAAAGTGAAAGAAGTGGCAAAAGATCTAACCTCATAGCACTTTGCAAGTGTCTCGCATCTGTGGAAATGAAAGCCTGCCCTGAGCACAAGGCCTTTTCTGCCTCTCAAGAGAGAAAATGACCCAATTGCTGGCATCTTCAGCCAGAGCTAAGAAGATGGATTTCTACCTTACCAAGTAGCACATTTGCATGTAGATCTAAAAAATTTAGGAGCCACCCAAATATTCTAAACCAAATGAAATATATGTGCAATAAAATTTTAAACGTTAAAAAAGATACTTTTAGAAGATGTTGAAGAGATACTACTTTATCTAATATGATGTTTCCAATGCTCAAACATAAAAGTAGAATCTAAGAGAAAAAAAAGCACACCTCGCTCACAAAGATCAAGGATTTAAGGGTGAAAGAGCATGTTTTTATAGAACAATTTGTTCACTGAGCGAAATGAGAAACATGAATTACAAAGGATATCTCATATCCTCCATGTTTCAAATCTAAAGCAGCACACAAGGCCACTTATTTTCTCTATTAATGCCCAGATAGAAATTAAACAATTTTCTGAACCAAAATGGGGAAACCCAAACTGTCCAGATGTTTATCATAGGATGATAATACAAGGTAAGTCTGGTAGGCATTTAGAATTTCACAGTAAAACAGTGATGACTGTACTTAAATGGTAAGTCAATAAGTTATGCTGGCTAATTATCAGTTATCTGAAAAATGCTTATAATCTGGTAGAAAAGTCTGCCATTTTGTAGATTTAAAGAAATGTGTTGAAGACAGGAATGCAACACCTGAAAATCTGCTTGCATAACTACCATTTTAAAAGGCCTTCCTTCCTAAGCTTATCCAAACTGTTCAGCAATAGTCACATTCTTAAAACTGTGCTGGTGATGTTAAAACAAACAAAAAAATTTACACAGTACCAAGAACTGCATCAAGTTCCCAAAGGAACACATTTTCATCAGGCTTAAAAAAATAAAAATCAACTCAGGAAATAAGTGCCTACTGTCATCAAAAGTACTATGAGAAAAATGCCTATAGGATGAGCACAGTTCCATTTTTAACATCTCACCTGAAATAATTCTTCTTGCAATTAAGTGATGCATAACACAACACACATCAATCTTAAGGTCAATAATGGCAGAACTTAAATATTTACTTCAAAGAAGTCTAAATTATTGAAAACTTTGGCAGCAAAGAAAGCTGTCAAATGGGAAAACTAGTATTTCAAACAAAGCTTAATAACCAAAGTGTAGAGGAAACCACATTAAACATAATTTATATTCCTTAACATAAAAACACCAATATATTCAAAATAAATGAATATAAATGAAGAATGTTGGAGGGGATATTTCTTTGTTCCCTTTCTTTATGAGAACAGTCTTGGGATAACATTAAATAAGAGACAAAAATAATTTAAATGGATAACATATTCTATACTGAAACAAAGAATGTAGACCTACAGGACCAATATAAAAGTTAAAATGGAAATTAACAGCTTCTTCTTCCAAAGACATTAATTTTAGGTTACCACTGGTGCTATATATCAGTACGTGCATTGTGACAAAGATGGCGGAAATTTAAAATACAAAAACCAAAAAGTTGGAACAAATTAAAGAGGATGATAGCATCAATATGACTGTTACGCTCCAAAAATCAGAACTGTCCAATGTGTAACTTGAACCATCATTCTTCAGAAAAGTATATATATAAAAGTACTATTTATTGTACCATGCTGTATTATTTTAAGACAAAGTATTAAAAAAAAAACATTCATGGTATAAGGATAAAGTCTGTAGTTTATTTAGATTTTGAAATGCAACAAAAAATTTTCGGTCACTCATCTAGCTGAAAAAGAAATTGTAGTTACTGGAGTTAGTAAACACTTTTGGTTTGTAAAACTGTAATGAGCAGTGTTCATTAAAAAGTAACTCAAGATAAAATAAACAATTAAAAAGCCCATTTCTTGTTTCTCTGGACACTGTTTAATAATCCAAGAGTCTTGAAAGAGAAGGATTAAACCAAGTTTTACAGTTCCAAAGATAACCCAATTTCCTTTTATTGCCCCAAATTAAAATTGTCAATTATGAGATGATTATGACACAACCATATCAAACCTAAAACTCTAATTTTTTCACTTTTGAGAAATCAAAAACCAAATAGATTCTAAGTGCTCTATGTTAACTGAAGTGTATATGTAAAGTAAAATACAATTAAGATTTAAAATGTGGAATATACATTGTGTAAGCATTATGTTCTTGGGAATGTAATCTACAGAATATTTTTTACTAAAACTTCAAAACCTTGATACTTGCACATGAAAAAAATCATAAAAAAATATCTAGGTACAACTGTACAAAGAAACTGACACCAATATGCATACTTCCATAGAGAAGTGAATGTTTCAACAGTTGTGTATTTTGGTAAAAGTTTTGAAAGTATGCATATATTAAAAGTAATTAGGCTTTTAAATAGTGGAGTCTTAGACTATCAGATTTTTATTACTTTTTTTTCTTCAAAAAAACACGTCAATATAATGCAAAATGAAAATCAAGGGTATATGGCATATCATTCTTTTTGAAAGGTGGTTTTCTTCTTTTTTTTTCCCCCTATAGGACAAACTAATGTATTTAAGCCATAATCTCTTGACATTTAAACTTTAAGTTCACTCTGTCTGTAAAGTATACTCAGATTCCCTGCTGAAGTGCAATGACTATGCTGAAAAACTTAGAAACAGTATGAGTAAATTTCACACAATTACTAATCTCCTAAGAATGTACAATGTTATCAGTTAGGAAACAATTGTGCGAAAGTCTTTTTTTTTTTTTCTCCTTTTTAACTTGGTGAAGGTGGAATAGCAAGTTTCTGATCTAAAACAAGTATATGCATTGCTTCTATAAAGGTGACAACATGTAAGGCAGTTCAAAGAATGCTGACTAACCAAACAAAACGTAGTTATGGGATTATCTTGCTATTCATATCAGCTTAACTTGTTATAACGCATTGCTCTTAAATCTGTACAGCACTCCATTTTACACAGAGTAACCCCACTCTTGATTAATCTGTTCTAAAGTGCCAATATTATTTACATTTTTTTTTTTTTTTTAGCCAAAAGTCTGGCCAGTTGTGGCATCTGGTGAAGATGTCATCCCAGCTCTGTTATCATTTACATTCACCAAGGGAAATTCTGAAAATTCAGCACTTGTCCCTGGTCCCCGAAGGTTCACCTGTCCATTGGCAGTGCTAAATTGAGTAGCTATTCCAGCTCTGGATCCATGATATGGAGCACGGAAAGGCTGTTCAAAGGAGCTCATTTGGTAAGCTTGGTGGACAGGCTGAGCCTCAGCTTTCTTCTGAGAAGTCACTTGATCCAAAAAGTCCTGTGTTGATGTGGCAGAAGCATGGTTTGTCTCATCACCTGAAAAGGGAAATGAGTGCTGTGAATCACCAACTATTAGTCCAAAGTGGGACTTATCTGGAGTTGTTCTTAGTGGAGAATTCATTCCTGATCGAAAGCTATTGATGGGCATGGTTGCATAGACTTGCTTGTCTATGGAAGAGAATGCTGGCTGATTTGGAAGGGTCTGGTTATCAGTCACAAAGTTAAGGCTCGGGCTATTCAAATAGGCATCATTTTGGCTAGTTCTGTCCAAAGCCTGCTGCAGAAACTTTGAGTATTCCTGCAACATGTTGGCTTTATCTGATGAGGATGCTTGGGAGCTTGATCCAACATTCTCTGACTGGGTGACTTCTGGTACTTCTGATGAATTTATTGATATGCTAGAAGTCACTTCAGTGTCTGCAACACTGAAGGAAATCTCATGCTGTCCATTAGCTTTATGGGAATAATGATCCAACAAAGTCTGCAGTACCTCATCGGGAATAACATTTTTGTCATGATTACTCTTAATCTCCACATTTAGTGCTTGTGAATCTAATATGGATGCTGTGGTACTTTCATCAATGACACTTGCCACAGCTGCTTGTGTTACAGAAGGCTGTGACGCTATGGTACCCACATTCAGTGCATATTCCCTGCTGTTGTTACTTGCTGCTTGAAGATACCGCTTCTTCTTCAAAAACTGCATGGCATCATCATAATTAGTACTACTATGCACAGGTTTACTGGGTCCCTCTTGCAAGTTATCAACCTGATCAATGTCAGTATTGCCTTCTGAGTCCAGTAAAGCTTGTTTATCCACAAGTTCAAATGCATACTTTGAAACTTTGCTCTCTTCATATGTAGATAAAGGTGAAATTGTTTGATTTTGCTCCAGTGGCTGTTTCAGACTTCTCTTACTATTAATTTTCTTGAGAACCAACTTTGGTGGGTGTATTTCTCCTGATGCATCTTCTAAATGAGATCCCCCAACTGAAGAATGTGGCATTTCAACTGCATACTCTGCCACCATATACTCATCTTTTACTTTAGTACTTGAAGAATAAAGAGGCAAGTAATCATTTTTGTCTTTCTTCAGGTCAGATTTATCCAAAGAACTCTCTTTGTCCATACCAGATGATTTCTTCTCAGTTTTCTGCCTTTTCTTTTTTGGCAGTGAATTATCTTTAGGTGATGTGGAAAAGCCAGAATCTTCTTCAGATGTCAGAAGGCCACCTTTGATGGCACATCTGTTTAGTTTTTTGTCATGATTTTCATGGCACATACGTTTATGTTTCAATACACGATCTGTTCTGGAAAAATACTGTTGAATTCAGAGGTTGGAAGTGGGTTTTTTGTTGTTGTATTTGTGTTTTTGGTCAAACAAAGAAGAGAAAAAAGAAAACAATTAGTATAAGCATAATATAAGCAATTCCAAACAAATGAACACAGCCAATTTTCTATTATAAATCTTATCAATGAGAATTTAGAAGTTCCTCAAATAGTCTTAGTAGTAAACAGCATTTTCTAATTTCTTAGATTTTATAACTTAATAAGGATAGAACAATTGCAAACTACCTAACTTACCTGTAAACAGTATTCACACTGGTAAGGTTTTTCTCCACTGTGAGTTCTCTTATGCCTTTCCATATGGTATTTTTGTATGAATCTCATACCACATTCATCACAGCGAAATGGTTTTTCACCTAGTACATGATAGATAGTTTAAAACAAAACAAATATTGTAAAATAATGAATTGCTTTGCAATAAGAAACTCTAAATATCCTTTGATAGTTATGATAATTCACTCTTTCTAAATGATAAAAAGTGCTCCCTATTCTAAAAGCTGAAAGCAGGGATACTCAATTTTCCTCCCTTCTGTTATGTGTGCATAGAACATAAACTCTAGAATGACCAGGAGAACAAGAAATTTATAGCAATATGGACATTCTTTCAGCAGAGTAGTTGATTAATTTCTTGTCTTTCTTTTCAATCATTTAAAATAATATATTAGAACTTTAAAAAATGTTATTCATGCAGAGTCTAATATAATTCTTAGGTACAGCTTCTTAATTCTTAATCTATTTTAGAAACATTTGTGGTTAAATGAAAATATAAACCCTGGGAAAATACTCTTTAAAATCTAATGTAAGGGCTGTGGCTGTGGCTCAGTGGTAGAGTGCTTGCCTAGTATGTGTGAGTGAGGCACTGGGTTTGATTCTCAGCATTGAGTATAAATAAATAAAATAAAGTCTATTGACAACTATAAAAAAATTAAAAAAACATTAAGACATAAAACAAGCTTGGAGACCAAATTTCAAAAGTAAGGTTTTTTTTTATTTTTTTAAATATTTATTTAGTTGTAGATGAACATATAGTACCTTTATTTATTTTTATGTGGTGCTGAGGATGGAACCCAGTGCCTCACACATGCGAAGCAAGCACTTTACCACTGAGCTACGGCCTCAGCCCCAAAAGTAAGGTCTGTTTATACTGATTCTTTTTGGCGGGAAGGTAGGTCCTGGGGATTGAACCCAGAGGTGCTTTACCACTGAGCTACATTCCCCAACCTTTTTTAATTTTTTATATTTTTAAAATATTGAGACAGGATTTCACTAAGTTGCTGAGGCAGGACTTGAATTGAACTTGAGATAGTGATTGTCCTGCTTTAGCCTCTAAGTCACTGGGATTACAGGCATGTGCTTCCATGCCTGGCTATATTTATTCTTTTTCTCAACTAAAACCAGCATTTCTTGTCATCTGTAGTAAACAGCATTTTCTAATTTCTTAGATTTTATAACTTGAGTACTGTTAATTATTCATACAACTGCTCTACCCCCAGACCTTAATTCCTTAAGAACTTTTAAGCTATAAGATACTATTACTATGGAGTACTGTTAATTATTCATACAACTGCTCTACCCCCAGACCTTAATTCCTTAAGAACTTTTAAGCTATAAGATACCATTACTATGGAGTTCTATAGTTTTTACTGATAAAATTTTTTAAAACATTATAATGTTTGTTCTTTTTAGTTATACGTGATGGTAGAATGTATTTTGACATATTATACACACATGAAGCATAACTTTCCATTCTTGTGGTTGTGCATGATGTAGAGGAATTACACTGGTCATGTACTCACATATGAACAAATAGGAAAATTATGTCCAATGCATTCTACTGTCTTTCCTATTCCCATCTCTTCTCCCTTCCCTTCATTATAAATAGTTTTTGCTGATAAAACTGAAGTCTAATAAATAAACAATAAGTTACCTTGTATAATACTTGTTTGGGAAATTGCTGTTTCTACCTGCTTAACAAAATTTGACTGAATACTGCTCCTTTACCCACAGCCCTGCTGTAGGAAGTTTTTCCAAGAGTTTACAGAATAATTGGAGAAACACGATACACATATTATAAAATGACAACACATAAAACTATATCAAGCTCTGGTTTACTTTTACAACTTTTACATTACCCTGTTTCCCTTCTTAACTTTGTCCTTCAGTCAAAATATCTACCATCTCACACTTCCTACTTTCACCTTGATCCATGCTGCTCCTTCAGTCAGGAATGTTCACTAAGTGTTCAGACACCACCCTCCCAATGAGACCAAATCAATCTCCTATGGGATACTTTGCTCCTTCTTCCTGAATTTCCACAGAACTCCATTAAAACAACTCCTAAGGCACTTATTACTTGCAACTCAATAATTATTTCATACATTTCTATTTTTTACCATATTATGCTTCCTTAGACTTAAATTATATTTAGGTAGCTCAAAATACCTTCTGTTATCTTTAGGTGCCAAACAAATGATTACTACAGTGAATTACCAGTGAGAAAAATGTTATTATGTGTAGTTATGATTTGGAAAAGCTTTTTGGATATGTTAGGAATCTAAGTGAAGTAGCACCTGAAGTTAAAATTCCACAGAAAGAAAATTTCGGGAAGAATAACAGAGCTGCTAACTGTTTTTAGATACTGTTTGATGTCCAGGAGAAATGGTGCCTAAGAATAGAATTTAATTCGGCAACAAGTAAATTATATAACCTGGTAAGTCCCAAGTTTTCAATTCTATGCCTGTTTCAACAAAATCAACACAGGTGCATTAAAATAGGTTGTAATTCATAATCTGAGTTTGTACGTTGTCTATTAATTAACATAATTTTATAATTATTATTGTTATTATGGAATTACATATTACATACTATATTTAAGGTTTTATATGTGTTTCTTTTTTAAAAATTTTTATTAGTTATTGAATGACCTTTATTTATTTAATTGCTTATATGTGGTGCTGAGAATCGAACCGAGTGCCTCACACATGCTAGGCAAGCATTCTACCACAGAGCCACAACTCCAGCCTCTATATGTATTTCTTATCTGGGACAATGGGACAAAATAGTTAAAACTTATAAGGATGTAACTTCTGTAACTGCTACAGAGTTACCAAATTTTAGGGCAAAAGAGACTTTCCGGTGGCTTTCAAATTGTGTTCTTGCAGGTTCCACAGAGGCTCCCATGCACTGCTGCTGATGTGGCAAAAGGTTCAATGCTTATTAAGCACATTCAGTTGCAGAGTAGCTCACTTTGATATACTGGGACTCCAAGGAAACATTCCAAGGGTCCAGAGGTTAGAGGCTAGAAAGCTTTACCAATTAATCTAGACTAATTCACAGTAAAGAAATACTGAAGCCCAGAAAAGTTAAGGAACTTGCACACCAAACAATTAATACAGTAGAAGTCCGGAGAGGAGAATACTTATTCAGGAAGTTTGGAAGAAATGAAATAAGAAATGAGATGGGAAATAATAAAGTAATCCATTCAAGAATACATTGTTAAAGAAAAGGAGACAAAGCTGAAGGCAAAGGAATCAGTGTAGAAGAAAAACTGAACTAAAATTGAATTATTACAGTGAATAATCAAAGGAATAAGATTCCAAAGAACCAAGAAGGAACAGATAATGTTGGAAAGAAGTAAGAAAAGGTGCACATTTTAAAATACAGAATGTAGATGATAGAGATAATTAGGTTAGAATTTAAATCATTTATCAAAAGCAAGAAAGGATACAAGAGAAAATGAGTATGTTGATTAAAATTCAATTAAATCTGCCTAATATTTGTAGACTAGAAGACAATATTGTTAAGATGGTAACATTCCTCAAACTCATCAGAAGATTCAAAGTAGAAATTCACAACCTTATACTAAAACTCACATCCAAAAACAATTTTTAAAAATCACATAATCAAGGTAATGTGCTAATGGCTTAAGGACAGATATGTATTAAGAAATGGAACTGAGTGGGCTCGGGTGTGGCTTAGCGGTAGAGCACTAGCATATACGAAGTCCTGGTTCAATCCCTAGCACAACAAAAGCAACAAACAAATACAAAAGAAATGGAGTTTAGAGTCTGGAGGAAAACCTTTACATTTATGGTCAAGTGGTTTTCTAAAAAGGTGCCGAGGTGAGGGCTGGGGTTGTAGCTCATTGGTAGAGCATTTACCTAGCACATGTGAGACCCTGGGTTCAATCCTCAGCACCACATAAAAAAAATAAAGATATTGTATCTATCTACAACTTTAAAAAAAAAAAAAAAAAAGAGGTGCCAAGGCAGGCTGGGGTTGTGGCTCAGTGGTAGAGCACTTGCCTAGCACGTGTGAGGCACCAAGTTCAATTCTCAGCACCACATATAAATAAATTAATAAATAAAGGTCCATCAACAATTTAAAAATATTTTTTAAAAAGGTGCCAAGGCAGGCTGGGATGTAACTCAGTGGCAAAGCATCTGCCTTGCATTCGCAAAGCCGTGGGTTCGACACCCAGTTCCAAAAAGACAAAAAAAAAAAAAAAAGGTGCCAAGGCAATTCAATGGAGAAAGAATAGTGTTTTCAACAAATGTGCTTGGACAACTTAATACTCACACGCAAAAGAACGAAGAAGATGCCTCCTACCTCACATCATAAATAAAAATACCTCAAAATGTATCATAGGCCTTAATGTTAGAACCAAAACTATTAAAACAACAGAATAAAACACAGGAATAATCTTCATGACCTTGGCTAGGCAATGGTTTTTTAAGTATAATACCAAAACACAATAACCAAACAAAAAAATAAATGAACTTCATCAAAGTTAAAACTTGTGCTTCAAAGGACACTATCCTTACCTCGCCCTGCAAAAAATGTTTGCTATTGTGGGAAACTATGGCAATTCCTCAAAGACCTACCACATGACACAACAATTCTATTCCTAAGTATATTTTCAAAAGAATTAAAAACAGGAACTCAAACAGATACCTGTATACCAAAATATATCACAGCGTTATTCAAAACAGATGAAAGGTGAAGCAAGCCACTGTCGAGCAACTTAAACAGGGAGAAAAATGTGATGGGTACAAACAATGGAACAGTATTCAGTTGTAAAAATGAAATCCTGATACATACTACCTACAAACATGGGATAAACCTTGAAGATATTTTGCAAAGAGAAAGAAGTCAGATATGAAAAGGATAAATAGGGACCGAATCTACTTATATGACAGATATAGAATAGGCAAATTCAGAAACACTGAAAATAGACCAGTGGCACAAGAACCAGGGGAGGCAGCGAGGGGATGTTAGTGTTTAATGGTTGTAAAGTTTCTGAAGGCTGGATTTTTTGTTTGTTTTTTTGTCACTTTCTGAGATGGAGTCTTGTTAT